CCATTTTACGGGCTCCTAACCACTTGTGCTATTGTGTGTGTTTTTCTGCCACCGTCTCTTATGACCGAAAAGAGCATCTGGATATCAGGACAGTGATTACTCACCTCGTACTGGACGAAGATTTTTCTTTAATGAGTCAGACGCAAAGGATTTACTTCAGACACCCAACAAGGCCCAAATCCCCTTCATTCGCATGAAGAAAAGACAGAGATATCGTGGACGTAGGTCGGGGTGCCTTGAAAGGATCCGACGCCGAGTGGGTAATCTGCCTCTACAATCAGTCCTATTAGCCAACGTACAATCATTGGATAATAAAATGGATTAGCTCCGATCAAGAATATCCTACCAGCTGGACATTAAAAACTGCAATATCTTGTGTTTCACCAAGTCATGGCTGAACGACAACATGGATAACATACAGCTGGCGGGGTTTCCGGTGCATCGGCAAGATAGAACAGCTGCCTCCGGTAAGACAAGGGGTGGCGGTGTGTATATATTTGTAAATAACAGCTGGTGCACGAAATCTAATATTAAGGAAGTCTCGAGGTTTTGCTCGCCTGAGGTGGAGTATATCATGATAAGCTGTAGACCACACTATTTACCAAGAGAGTTTATCTATATTTTTCGTAGCTGTCTATTTACCACCACAAACCGATGCTGGCACTAAGACTGCACTCAACGAGCTGTATAAGGCCATAAGCAAACAAGAAAATGCTCATCCAGAGGCGGCGCTCCTAGTGGCCGGGGACTTTAATGCAGGGAAACTTAAATCCGTTTTACCTAATTTCTACCAGAATGTTAAATGTGAAAACCAGAGAAAAAAAAACTAGACCACCTTTACTACACACACAGGGACACGTTAAAGCTCTCCCTCGCCCTCCATTTGGCAAATCTGACCATAATTCTATCCTCCTGATTCCTGCTTACAAGTAAGAACTAAACCAGGAAGTACCAGTGACTCGCTCAATACAGAAGTGGTCAGATGACGCAGATGCTAAGCTACAGGACTGTTTTGCTAGCACAGACTGGAATATGTTCCGGGATTCTTCCGATGGCATTGAGGAGTACACCACATCAGTCACTGGCTTCATCAATAAGTGCATCGATGACGTCGTCCCCACAGTGACCATATGTACATGCCCCAACCAGAAGCCATGTATTACAGGCAACATCTGCACTGAGCTAAAGGGTAGAGCTGCCGCTTTCAAGGAGCGGGACGCTAACCCGGACACTTATTAGAAATCCCGCTATGCCCTCCGACGAACCATCAAACAGGCAAAGGGTCAATACAGGATTAAGAATGAATCGTACTACACCGGCTCCAACGCTCGTCGGATATGGCAGGGCTTGCAAACTATTACGGACTACAACGGGAAGCACAGCTGCAAGCTGCCCAGTGACACGAGCCTACCAGATGAGCTAAATTACTTTCATGCTCGCTTCGAGGCAAGCAACACTAAAGCATGCATGAGAGCATCAGCTGTTCTGGACGACTGTGTGATCATGCTCTCTGTAGCCGATGTGAGTAAGACCTTTAAACAGGTCAACATTCACAAGGCCGCAGGGCCAGACGGATTACCAGGACGTGTATTCTGAGCATGCGCTGACCAACTGGCAAATGTCTACACTGACATTTTCAACCTGTCCCTGACTGAGTCTGTAATACCAACATGTTTCAAGCAGACCACCATAGTCCCTGTGCCCAAGAACACTAAGGAAACCTGCCTAAATTACTACAGCTCCATAGCACTCACGTCTATAGCCATGAAGTGCTTTGAAAGGCTGGTCATGGCTCACATCAACACCATTATCCCAGAAACCCTAGACCCACCCTAATTTGCATACCGCCCCAACAGATCCACAGATGATGCAATCTCTATTGCACTCCACACTGCCCTTTCCCACCTGGACAAAAGGAACACCTACGTGAGAATGCTATTCATTGACTACAGCTCAGCATTCAACACCATAGTGCCCTCAAAGCTCATCACTAAGCTAAGGACCCTGGGACTAAACACTTCCCTCTGCAACTGGATCCTGGACTTCCTGACGGACCACCCCCAGGTGGTAAGGGTAGGTAACAACACATCTGCCACGCTGATCCTCAACACGGGGGCCCCTCAGGGGTGCGTGCTCAGTCCCCTCCCGTACATGACTGCATGGCCAAGCACGACTCCAACACCATCATTAAGTTTGACGACGACACAACAATGGTAGGCCTGATCACCGACAACGATGAGACAGCCTATAGTGAGGAGGTCAGAGACCTGGCCTTGTGGTGCCAGGAAAACAACCTCTCCCTCAACGTGACCAAGACAAAGGAGATGATTGTGGACTACATGAAAAGGAGGACCGAGCATGCCCCCATTCTCATCGACGGGGCTGGTGTCCACATCATCAACAAACTATTATGGTCCAAACACACCAAGACAGTCGTGAAGTGGGCACGACAAAGCCTATTCCCCCTCAGGAGACGGAAACGATTTGGCATGGGTCATCAGATCCTCAAAAAGTTCTACAGCTGCACCATCGAGAGCATACTGACAGGTTGCATCACCGCCTGGAATGGCAACTGATCGGCCTCAGACTGCAAGGCACTACAGAGGGTAGTGCGTACTGCCCAGTACATCACTGGGGCCAAGCTTCCTGCCATTCAGGATCTCTATACCAGGCGGTGTCAGAGAAAGGCCCTAAAAATTGCCAAAGACTCCAGCCACCCTAATCATGGACTGTTCTCTCTGCAACCGCACGGCAAGCGGTACCGGAGCGCCAAGTCTACGTCCAAAAGGCTTCTTAACAGCTTCTACCCTCAAGACTCCTGAACAGCTAATCAAATGGCTACCCAGACTATTTTCATTGGTTAAGGGCTTGTAAGTAAGCATTTCACTGTAAGGTCTACACCTTTTGTATTCGGTGCATGTGACAAATGCAATTTGATTTGATTTGATTTGAACTGCTCACCTTCGATGGCCACTGGAAGTGTGCTCTTCACGGATGAATCCTGGTTTCAACTATACCGGGCAGATGGCAGACAGCGTGTATGTCGTCATGTGGGCGAGCAGGTTGCTAAAGTCAACGTTGTGAACAGAGTGCCCCATGGTGGCGATGGGGTTATGGTATGGGCAGGCAAAAACTACAGACAACGAACACAATTAAATTGTATCAATGGCAATTTGAATGTACAGGGATACCGTGACGAGATCCTGAGGCCCATTGTCGTGCCATTCATCCACCACCATCACCTCATGTTTCAGCATGATAATGCACAGCCCATTTCGAAAGGATCTGTACACAATTCCTGGAAGCTGAAAATGTCCCAGTTCTTCCATGGCCTGCATACTCACCAGACATGTCACCCATTGAGCATTTTTGGGATGCTCTGGATCGACGTGTACGACAGCGTATTCCAGTTCCAGCCAATATCCAGCGATTTCGCCCAGCCATTGAAGAGGAGTGGGACAACATTCCACAGGCCTCAATCAACAGCCTGATCAACTGTCGCGCTGCATGAGGCCAATGATGGTCACACCAGATACTGTCTGGTTTTCTGATCCATGCTCCTACCTTGTTTTTAAGGTATCTGTGACCAACAGATGCATATCTGTTTTCCCAGTCATGTGAAATCCATAGATTAGGGCCTAAAGTGTTAATTTAAATTGACAGATTTCCTTATATGAACTGTAACTCAGTCAAATATTTCAGTTGTTCGTGATGCTAAAGTTGTTCGTGATGAGATTCAAACACGCAACCTTTGGGTTTTTGCCTTAAGTAACCTTCTGTCTTGTCTAACCATACGAAACCTAACATATCATACTAATTTGAGTGTCCCAGATTTACATTTACTATGTTATGTCTAGTCTATGACACAAGGCTGGGTGGGCACAAGATGTTCGCCCATGATGAAAGGGGGGCATAACTGAAAAAGGTTGGGAAGCACTGATCTAGCTAATGATTAGCACAAATACAGATAGGCAACCCCATGATTCAGCCTATTTATTTATAGCCACTGTGCTGCATCAGTTGGCTACAGGTGATAATGCTTCTTGCTAAATAACACAGCAGCCTGATAATATGGACCAATATGTTGTTAGGCTCATTTCTGGAGGGTAAAATTATATTTTAGATAATGTCAGCATCATTTTACTTTAATTCATTTTGGAGTAGAAAGGAAGAACAATGTGCAGAAAGTGGTCATCTGAATGACCCGGAAGCCTGCGTCTTTATAAGGATGAAAACGTCATAGGCCTACTACAAACTGCAATGTTCATGCCATATGTTATCAGCCATGCAGGCCAATTGGGTTAAATATATATTTGCCCATATTCTCATTAGTGGGGTAAGACAAAATCTGCAGGAAAGCTTTCTAATCAGTAGCTTCAAAGTATTAAATGCAATACACAACTTTTATCAACAGGTTTTGCAGTAGTATTTGGTTTGAATTAATCACACAGGTATTAATCAAGGATAACAAACAACCCACCACACCTGACAGATCTGTGATGGTGAGGAGTGTCATGGGATGTGTCTCTATTGCATTGTGGGCAGAATTTTGAGAACTGTGTGAGAAACTGGACTTTGAGTATAAATCTTCAATTTACATCACGGGTGTCAAACTCATTCCATGGAGTGCCTAGTGTCTGCAGGTTTTTCTAAGACCTAGAAAACCAGGTGACTGGAGTCATTTACTAATTAGTGACCTTAATTCATCAATCAAGTACAAGGGAGGAGCGAAAACCCGCAGACACTCGACCCTCCGTGGAATGAGTTTGGCACGTAATTTACATCATTGCATGATTTATGCAGGGGTACAAGTTACTCTAGCAGATCACATGTTCGGCCCTGTATGAAGTAACATGGGCCAAACCGCATGTATTCACATTCAAATAGCATTTCTTCTTTACAATGTAACAAACGTAAAATAAATACTGAAATGTTAAACAATGGAATATATTTAAATAAGCTGATTGTGAGTTACTGTGGATGTGTAGGCTGATCTACACATTCCTTTGGACACAGGAACTCAACAGGTGGTTTGTAATGCCGTTGACCACTCCCTCCCTGTCTGAACGGGGCGAACCGCAGCCATTTCTTTACCACGTTTGCAAACTGGTGATGTGTGGCCTCTTTGCCCACCGGGGTTCTTTTCAGAGCACCTATAGTGATAGAGAAGTAGTGAGGTCATTGCTGCAATTCACTTCAGTGGTTTACATTTTACATTTTAGTCATTTAGCAGACGCTCTTATCCATAGCGACTTACAGTTAGTGAGTGCATACATTATTTTTTACTTTTTTGTTTTCATACTGGCCCCCCGTGGGAAGCGAACGCACAACCCTGGCGTTGCAAACGCCATGCTCTACCAACTGAGCTACATCCCTGCCGGCCATTCCCTCCCCTACCCTGGACGATGCTGGGCCAATTGTGCACCGCCCCATGGGTCTCCCGGTCGCGGCCGGCTACGACAGAGCCTGGATTCCACTGCGCCACTCGGAAGGCTAATTCCAAATGTCTATGGAGACTGATCTGAGTCCTTCGCATGATCCATCCATCCATGCATCCATCTAGCCATGAATCCCTCTCTCCATCCCTCCCAGTATGTGTAAGGTATGGTACCGGTACTTACAGAAGAGAACCCCTTGGAGGCGGGTGTTTCTGAAGCTCCTTTTCTGGCCATGGCCCACCCAGTTGAGCTCAGAGCCCACAGCGAAAGATAGCACTGCCTGCATGAGCCTTCGCACCGCATCATCAAACGTGGCCCCACCCATTCGCGACAGGTGAGACACCTGTCATAGATAGACACATACACCATTAATAACACAATCACTTACCATTATGTAGCAGTATGTAATGTGCTTGTCGCTGGTTCAAGCCTTTGCGGATCCACCTAACATTCTCTTCTGTGCTCCTGCATCATCCAGGTGCCTCTCTGTGTCATCTAGCTGCTCCATAGTCCTCAGAGGGATGTCGATGTCTAGAGCCTCCACCTCTTCCTCTACCTCCGGAAAGCTCTGGCCCTGAACCCTGGCCTGCATCTCCTTCAAAACGCCCCACTGTCTCTGCTGCTCCTCCTTAATCTCCACCAGCAGGGAGATGATTTTACGCTGGGCAGCCGTCTCTGAGGAACAGTGGATAGAAACTGATTTGGGATAACACAGGGTCAAGGTAGGGGCCAATTCCATACAATGGAAGAGGATTACAGAATAGGGACTATTAATTGACATTTCAGATGGAAACTATAAAACATGATTATTATTATTTTCAAGGATGTGTTCTTTTCTTGAGAATTGGAGAGAAAAAATAATTGGAATTTCAAGAATTTACTGAATTGACATATTATGTGTCACATTTTAGAACAGTGACAGGCCTAGGTGTAGTCATTTATTTTCCCCATCAATCTAAAACAACGAGTGAGTGTCATTTGCTACTGTAACTCTTCAGCCAATTAGAAATGTAGCCTAGGGGTGCGATGTTACTCCTGTGAATCTGATTGGTCACACAGCTGAATTATTCCTGGGATTCATAGTTTTTTTCCCGATACTTGTTACTTCCAAGAAAATACAAAACAAAGTGGGAAATTCACTTTAATAACATAACTATAGTTAATCAGGCAAGGGTAAAACGTTACCTGCTGATGATGAGGTGCCTGGCATTGACAACTTTTCCCCAACACCACCTGTGCTAAACATTGCACTCAGCGACTCAACGTCAAAGTTTACATCTGTGCGTCTTGGAATATCATATTTGGGAACATCCTCCGAGCGTCTCGAAACATGTTCCGCAAGATTGTTCATTTTGTTGGACACAGCTGATAGTCTCTGCTGGAGTCTTTCTAGTGCTATGTCTGCCATGTGTTTGTTGAGCAAACCTTCCATTCGTCGCTGCATCGACCAGCTAGAAGTATCTCCATTATTATGCTCCATACATTTCTCAACCTGTCAAGCTCCTAAACGTGAGTTTTAACCAACAAAAACCATTCTACAATGTCTTTACTATCTTTCTAGGTAAATGCAAATGGAGACCTGTTAGGGGAAAAAAAGCGGAAGTGGTTATCAAACAGTCCACAGCCAGCGCACGATATCACGTTGCAACAACAATACAGTAATGTTGCGAGAACATTGGGAAGGCCAGAAGAACTACATTTCCCAACCGCAACAATCAACAAATTGCTTTCCCATGGGTTGACTGCATATTTATCTTGAAAGTTTAATAAAAATTGAAAATTGTTACATTGTAGGCTACATTTGATGTAACACAATGTAGTGATCATCAAGGTTTAACAATTTCACGTAGCAATTTTTTGTGCCAGCTGTGAGTTATTGGGCACGTTCAAGGGAATGGTCACTGCCTTTCAAAGTGTGTTGCACTATGCTGTTAAACATTGACTGACTTTGGCCTACATGTTGACTGCATTAAATTTACAAAAATCCTGTGATCAAAGGTCATGAAGTTTTGACTGCAAGTTTTGGCTGTCGGAGATGCACCTCCCCCGACTTCGACTTGTCTACAGTCGGTTGCTTTCACCTTACTACTCAAACACGACCAATATTTAGGAAACAGTTGTGTTCCCCTGCCAAAGATTATCTATTACAGGACCCTGTTCTTCGAGCGCTACCGTCCTGTAGGTTTTTCACTCCAACCCTAATCTAGCCCACCTGATTCTAATAATTAGATCCTTAAGGTTAATCAATTGAATCAGGTTAGTTACAACTGGGGTTGGAGCAAAACCCTACAGGAGGGTAGCTCTCCAGGAACAGGGTTGAAGAGCCCTGATCTATTGTATTGACAAGATAGTCGAGTGACCACTATAACAATAGAAATACATGATCTCAAAGATGGAAGGCAGGTGGGAGGAGGAGAGAGCAGGTGGGACCATAGATAGATAGAGTACTCATCTTTGTATCTGTGCCATTATAGTGTCTGTGACAGCATGGGCAGCGCCATTGAGGCTACAACCCATAGGAATCCCCACCGAGTTGACTACTTTGACTACTTTAAAATGGCAGAAGCATGGTGGAAGCCTTCAATGGCGCTGCCCATGCTAAAACGGCCTTTTGGCCACTAGAGGTCTCTATCATTTTCTATGGCTATGAACCCAGTGTGAACTGGCAGGAATTCACCCATGGGTTGTTGCCTCGCCTCGCCCACAGAGGAAGAAGCGAAGCGAGAGGGATAACTGTGCCCAAAATCCATTTTTTCCAGCAGGTGGCGTCTTTTTTTCGCTCACCAACCAAGGAGTTTTTGTATGGAGGTCAATGAGAGAGTGTCGAATTTGGTTAACAAAATATGTAATGGCTTATTTGCTACGCGTGGCTTATTTTATCGAATATATGTTTCATAATGCTTAGGTTGTTATGAGTGTACTGATATAAGTAGGACATGTGACATCCCGGCAACTTTGAGAAAAACCACCATTGGCTAGAATGGTCCCACCTGATCTTGCCCCCTCCCGACTTTGAAGACATTTCTTTCCATTGTTAGAGCGGCCACTTGAGTATCTTGTCAATATAATGGATAATCTGTGCCTTGCCTGAGCAGGGAAGAGAGGAAGAGCGGCGAAGAGGTGAAGCGAGGAAAATTATTCCGCCCAAAATCTGTCTGTGTGAGATGAGCAGACCAACTAGGGATTTTTTGTATTGAGGTCTATGAGAGCATGTCAAAGTCTGTGAGGCTTATTTGATCGATTAGAAGTTTCGTAATGTTGATGGTGTTTAATCATTTTCTGATATAAGTGGATGTACGTGGCATTCCAGCAACTTTGCGAAAAACTACATAGTTGTGCCTATTGTTCACACGCGTATCTGCCCTCTCATTGTCTAGAACGGCCCCACCAATAGAGAATGATAGAGGCCTCTAGTGGCCAAAAGGCCGTTTTAGTATGGACAGTGCCATTGAGGGCTTCCACCATTTTAATGTAGTCAACTGGGTGGGATTTCCAACTTCTTCATTGGCTGACCCCTCCTGATGACCCGGTTGGAGTAATGTTATCAGGAGGGATCAGCCAATCGTGATTTTATTTTTGACCATTTCAAAATGGAGATTGCCTCAATGGCGCTTCCCGTGCGCTCACAGACGCTATTATAGGAACTATATAGGGATGCTTTCGCTATCATTCTCTATGGGACTGCTTAGTTCATTGACTTCCATTGAACCAGAATAAATTAGGGAGTGGGATGGGTCCCGGGGGTGTCGAATATGGAGAATGAGGACAGGAGGTTGATAGGCGTCAAGTACAAAATTAAGCTAGCCTGAGTCAAGTACTTTTCAGACTGGGCTATACACAATGTGCCAAACTAGCCTGACACAGCAGTGAAATTGTGCCTTTACAAACATCGCATGCCACAGATTTAGGACCTGAATGTAGAAATTGTGGTCTGCTGGCCATTACCCAAAATCCCTATGTTACATCCCTGCATGTCAGTCCTTTTCAGACGATCCCCCTATAACTGTTGGTCCTCCTCAGTGACCTTACGGCTGAGGGTTTTAACTTTCCTCTTGAGAATTAGAATCAGTACAGTTATAGAGCTCGTCGCAATACTTCACCTCTTCGGGCAAATAGTACCCTAGACTGTCTTGATCATCTAGTTGAGCATTCCAGATAATTCCTCCATCCCAGCAGTAATGCCACATCCACATAGTAGTATTTTAGATGTGCAGATAGACCAAAGCCCTATTTTACCGTTACTATAGTCAAGTCTGTGGGTTATGGTATTTTAATATATGCAGTGCATTCGGAAAGTATTCAGACCCCATGATTTTTTACACATATTTTTTATGTTACAGCCTTATTCTCAAATACACACAATACCCCATAATGACAACGCAAAAGCAGGTTTTTCGAAATTCTTGCACATTTATTACAAATAAGAAACTGAAATATTACATTTACATAAGTATTGAGACCCTTTACTCAGTACTTTGTTGAAGCACCTTTGGCAGCAGTTACAGCCTCAAGTCTTCTTGGGTATGACGCTACAAGCTTGGCACACCTGTATTTGGGGAGTTTCTCCCATTCCTCTCTGGGGAGTGTCGCTGCACAGCTATTTTCAGGTCTCTCCAGAGATGTTCGATCGGGTTCATGTCCGGGCTCTGGCTGGTCCACTCAAGGACATTCAGAGACTTGTCCCGAAGCCACTCCTGCATTGTCTTGGCTGTGTGCTTAGGGTTGTTGTCCTGTTGGAAGGTGCCTTTTGGCAAACTCCAAGCGGGAGTTCATGTGCCTTTTACTGAGAAGTGGCTTCCGTCTGGCCATTCTACCATAAAGGCCTGATTGGTGGAGTGCTGCAGAGATGGATGTTCTTCCGGAAGGTTATCCCATCTCCACAGAGGAACTCTGGAGCTCTGTCAGAGTGACCATCAGGTTCTTGGTCACCTCCCTGACCAAGGCCCTTCTCCCCCGATTGCTGTTTGGCCGGGCATCCAGCTCTAGGAAGAGTCTTGGTGGTTCCAAACTTCTTCCATTTAAGAATGATGGAGGCCACTGTGTTCTTGGGGACCTTCAGTGCTGCAGAAATGTTTTGGTACCCTTCCCCAGATCTGTGCCTTGACACAAACATGTCTCGGAGCTCTATGGACAATTCCTTCAACCTCTTGGCTTGTTTTTTGCTCGGACATGCATTGTCAACTGTGGGACCTTATATAGACAGGTGTGTGCCTTTCCAAATCATGTCCATTGAATTGACCACAGATGGACTCCAATCAAGTTGTAGAAACATCCCAAAGATGATCAATGGAAACAGAAAGATTTTTTTTTTTTCAACTTTATTTAACCAGGTAAGCCAGTTGAGAACAAGTTCTCATTTACAACTGCAACCTGGCCAAGATAAAGCAAAGCAGTGCGATAAAAACAACAACAACACAGAGTTACATATGGGATAAACAAAACGTACGGTCAAAAACACAACAGAAGATCTATATACAGTGTGTGCAAATGTAGTAAGTTATGGAGGTAAGGCAATAAATAGGCCATAGTGCAAAATAATTACAATTTAGTATTAACACTGGAGTGATAGCTGTGCAAAAGATGATGTGCAAATAGAGATACTGGGGTGCAAAAATAAATAACAATACGGGGATGAGGTAGTTGGGTGGGCTAATTACAGATGGGCTGTGTACAGGTGCAGTGATCAGTAAGCTACTCTGACAACTGATGCTTAAAGTTAGTGAGGGAGATAAGAGTCTCCAGCTTCAGAGATTTTTGCAGTTCGTTCCAGTCATTGGCAGCAGAGAACTGGAAGGAATGGCGGCCAAAGGAGGTGTTGGCTTTCGGGATGACCAGTGAGATATACCTGCTGGAACGCATACTACGGGTGGGTGTTGCTATGCTGACCAATGAGCTAAGGTAATGCGGGGATTTGCCTAGCAGTGATTTATAGATGACCTGGAGCCAGTGGGTTTGGCGACGAATATGTAGTGAGGGCCAGCCAACGAGAGCGTACAGGTCACAATGGTGGGTAGTATGTGGGGCTTTGGTGACAAAACGGATGGCACTGTAATAGATTACATCCAATTTGCTGAGTAGAGTGTTGGAAGCTATTTTGTAAATGACATCGCCGAAGTCAAGGATCGGTAGGATAGTCAGTTTTACGAGGGCATGTGTGGCAGCATGAGTGAAGGAGGCTTTGTTGCGAAATAAGAAGCCGATTCTAGATTTAACTTTGGATTGGAGATGCTTAATGTGAGTCTGGAAGGAGAGTTTACGGTCTAACCAGACACCTAGGTATTTGTAGTTGTCCACGTATTCTAAGTCAGACCCGCCGAGAGTAGTGATTCTAGTCAGGCGGGCGGGTGCAAGCAGCGTTCGATTGAAGAGCATGCATTTAGTTTTACTAGCGTTTAAGAGCAGTTGGAGGCTACGGAAGGAGTGTTGTATGGCATTGAAGCTCGTTTGGAGGTTTGTTAACACAGTGTCCAATGAAGGGCC